TGTCGTCCAGTCATTGGGAAACGTTATGGGATATTCTTGGATTATTTTATTTTGCTGTGGATATTATTCTCTTGGGTTTTATTACTTGTTCCTGCCGCTTACTTGGATTACCAAAGGAAATAGGCCGTGAGAGACCAGCTCTCAGCTACAGAGGTGTTTCCAAAATTGGGTAAAAACTTGTAATTTTTGTTTGGAGATAATTGAGTTAATACAGTAATTAACTCAATTATCTCCCAAACAGAGGGGAGGGCTTGTGTACAGTATCTTGGAGTGTTTAAGTGTGAAACGCTTTTTATTGGATTGTGAATTCCATGTCCTGTGCCCCACAAGGTCCAGCTGGGTGGTAACCTTGTGGGGAAAACTGAATAAAAGACCAGTATGTGTCATTAAACCTTCACTTCTTACTTTACCCTCAATCTAGAGTCTTATTGGTGGAAACTACTATAAAAGCTATCACACTAGTCTTGTAAGAGCTTTCTACTTGGATGACTGCTGGAATGCTGTGAATATCCCTCACACTCGGGAGAAGGACACCCTCTAGCGGTGGGAACCCATCTACTCATCGGGGTAACTGCTACAGTTTTTTTCTTTGAATTCACTCTCATGCAGGACCACGTGACGCGTCCCGGAAGTTCCGTCTGAATGCAAACATAGGGAGCGTCATGTGAATGGATCACATGGATGCCCCTTTTTAAGTGTACTTAAACCTATTCGTTTGGTTTCCACACCAGGGCCTTCAAAGGGACAACATAGTCCTGAGCGTGCAGCCCATCCGCAGCCTACAGCCCGAGGGTTAACAACACCTGTATTCCTGCCTCAACACAATACAGCTACTGGATGACTACAAGCCGGACTGTCATCTGTACTTGTATATTTTGCCCGAACCAAGTACTACTGCTTGATCACAAGGACCATCTACTCACCACTATTACTTCCAAGGGCCATCTTCTATGAACCCACTCACTAGATCAGGACTAATTCATCATATAGAGGGGTGATATCCAAGCTTTTAAGCTATGCATACCATTGACTAAAATATTTTTTTATCTTTATTTTGTTGATCTTTTCACTGTATACAGTTTTTTTCCTTCCTTATTTTTCCCTTTTTTTGTCAACATGGATTACACATACACTTTTATTAGTGGACTGAACATTGAGATATATATTTTGTCTGATCTTTTGTTATCCTATGACAGTTTATGCATATATTGCTGTGTACATCAGTCAGGGGGTGGACCATTGGGATTATCTTGTGTTGATATTTAAATGATTATATATATATATATATATATATATATATATATATACATATATATATATTATCTCCACATAATGTTTTTTGTATACCTTATCAAACAAGCATAGGATCAGGTGTTCTACAGGCTTTATACATATGGTAGCCTTTCCTCCCCCTCCACAGGAATGGAGTAAGATTTTATTTTCTTTAAAGAATATTCAAATATATAAAAAAAAATTGCATTAACTTGAGTGCGGTATACTTTGTATTATTTAATTATACGTTTAGGGATTATACATGAGAGGGTGACCTCAATACCTGCACCAATCCCTGTACAGAGTGGCAACATCATATAATTGTTTGCAGCTAGTCCTACCCTTGCAGCTGAACGTCGGAAGGTACTGTTCGCAGCATTCATGTTGTTCATGGAAACTGAAGGAGAAATTGATTACTACCTTGTGGACTTTGAGAGGCAGTGTGCCTTACATCAAGTACCCCCGAGGAATGGGTCACCATTTTGTCAGGCAAATTGTCTGGTAAAGCAGCCAAAGCTTTTCGAGCCATCCCCAACAAGGAAATCAACCATTAGCACTTGGTAAAGGAGGCTCTACTCACATGCTATGTTGCTAGCCCTGATGCCGATGGGCAGCGATTTCCGGAATCTAAAAAGAAAGTAGGAGATGTGCATATGGAATGGGCATGCCCCCTGCACCGCTTCCCATTGGATTACCGAGTGTCAAGCTAGCACAGGAGAGGAGGTACTCGAGCCTTTTCTCCTAGAACACTTCCTGCTTGCTGTGAACCTGAACTGCAAGAGTGGGTACGGAATCAATGACCCCTCACTTTGACCGATGCTGCCCACCAGGAGGATGGGACAGACCACCCTGCGACCCCCTCCCTGCACCGAATTCCGAGCTCCTGTCCCCACTTGAGAATAAGAGATTTGTCTGGGAACAAGGGAGATTGTATAGGTTAACTGAAACCCATAAGACAGGGTTAGCCGCATCCCAAAAGAGACAACTGAGGGTCCCTTCTCCAGATTGGGCACAATATCTCTTTGGCTGGGCACCTGGTAGGAAATCGGACAGCCTATCGAGTAACCTAGACCTTCTTTTGGCCGGGAGTCTCCAAGGATGTGCCACAATATTGCAACGTTGACCTGTGCCGTCTGTCAGAGGGTAGGGAAACAGGAGAATCATCCCAAGGCTGACGAACCTTTCAGCCAGATAGCCGTTGACCTGGTAGGACCCCTCTCTAAACCCAGTCCATCCGGTAGGATATATATTCTCATCGTGGTGGACTACGCTACCTGCTACCCGGAAGCCGTCGCTCTGTCAAACATCCAGGCAGACACATATGTAATTGCCAGTGGTACCGACGGAAGGATATGGAGGGCCTTTCATGTAAACATGTTGAAGAAGTATCACGAGAGGCAGGAAGATATAGCTGCCATATGTGTCCCAGCTGCAGAAGACCCTGACAGTCTTCCTCTACCAAACTTGCTAAAGAAGAATTCCCAAGTTGACCCCCTTTGTCTGGTAAAATTAGGAAAATGACTAACCCCTGATGAGAGGGACCAAGTACAACAGTTGCTTGAGGAGAACAGACAGACATTCTCCCAAGAACCCGGTTTCACTACCCTACCTACTCACCAAGTAGAAACCCCAGGACAGGCCCCCCTCCCGTATTTCTGAAGCAAATCCAAGAAATGCTTAAACTAGGTGTCATCGAACCCTCAGACAGCCCATGGGCTTTCCTAGTCGTTCTGGTACCTAAAATGAATGGAACCATCCGATTCTGCATAGCTTACAGACGACTGAATGACAGGACAGTGACTGACATCTACCCGATGCCCTGAATAGATGAGCTATTATATCGCATAGCCAGGGGACATTATCTGACCATCATCGACCTCTGCAAAAAGCTATTGGCAGATTCCCCTGGCCGAGGAGACTATCCCCATGTCAGCCTTTGTCACCCAGTTTGGCCTTTATCAATCCAGGGTTATGCCATTCGGGACAAAAAATGTTCCAGCCACTTTAAAACGCTTGGTGGATAAACTTCTCGATGGCTTCCAGGACTTTGCCTGTGCGTACCTGGACAACATTGTGATCTATGGCAGAACATACATCTATAGAAGAACACTAAAGGACCGTACTCTAAAAGATTCGAGCTGCTTGCCTGACCCTGAAACCACACTAATGCGTAATGCTATTACGCGGCAGTGAGTTTATTTTTATTTCATTTCTGGACATTATTTTTATTCATTTCGCATGGATCCATATTCGAACCAAATCGACTTTGCCCCAGCTGGTATACTGAACCCTTAGACTACCCAAAGCAACCGTGTGCCTCCAATTGACCTTACTGACACTGCTCTAACCGCATCTCTGAACATTCTAAGTGGTTCACTGGGTGGCCGTCGATTCGTATGCACGAACACGTGGGGGTGGCAATTTTGTTTCGTGAAACGCGTCCAGCGGTGTTTGGTTGTTGAGGGTATGGAACTATTTTCGGACACACAACGGCCCGAACACCGCTGAGACTTTGGTTGATACAGTTATTGACTCCATTATCTCCCAGGCAAATGGGAGGGATTGTATGCCAGGTGTGGGAGTGCCTTAGATTGTAATGGTTATCCCTAACAAGGTCCATGTGGGTGTCACCCTTGCATGGGGACTTGCATAAAAGGCCAGTGTGGCTACCATTAAACCATTCCTGCTTAAACCTCAATGTGTAGCCTTGTCTCGTGATTGTAGGGAACCACTATCTCTTCTAAGCTTCACAGCTATACTCTTGGAGGAGAGGCCTTCCCAATGAGTCCCTGGATCCAGGAGTTTGATCCAGGGTGGGACAGGGCAGTAAGACCCCAACCAAGCTGCGGCGGTTTGTGAGATTTATGGTGCTTATGGTCCTCAGCGTCAGCTAGGAAACATCGATTGGCGGAGGTACCGTCAGGGTGCCAGGTGGTTTGTCACAGTCCTACTCCCAAAATAGTACCAGGGTATTTAGTGCTTTTGCCAGTCAACTTTCAGGAGCTCCTGCGTCCAAAATGCAGGGTACCCTGCTTTGTTCTCAGGTAGCGTTTGTTCCCCTTAGTCTCAGGCACCTTCCCTCCAAAAAGCGCTCACCTGGTCGATTTAAAAGTGGTTCAAAACCCTGGACCAAGTTGTCCAGGAACTGCAGTCACCTGCCGAAAACAGTTCCATAAGATTTGCGGCTAAGGACCGCTGAGGTGACCAGGGACCCACGAAGTCCTCATGCCGAAATTTGTTCCATAGCGGTCGCAGCTACGTACCGCTTAGGACTACTCATAGGTTTGGTTTATGCGAATGGCCGCCAGGGAGCTAGTGTTAATTTAATTCGAATAAAAGGAATGTGCAGAACCAGGGGCATCCAGGGAAAGCTACTAGTGGCAGCTAGGCAGGGTAACTCCCAAATGATGTCTGAGACCTGGACCATAGTCTGTGAGCAAGAGGCTGGCTTCCACACATCTCCAGAAGTCTGTGGGAAATGTTTGTGGGAAGGAGCGTTTGTCACAACATCCTCTTGTTGATATACTTTAAAAATCCTTCACTTATCTGGACGTTTACATAATTTCTCTGGAGCCGTCTAGGGTGGAACAATCTACTGGCTGTCACTAAACAGGTCTACTTATATTACAAAAATTTTTTTTTTTATTTCTCTTGCAACATATGCTAATTTTATTTGACAGACTTTTGTGCAAACCGTTTTATTGTAATGCCATTGCACAACAAAAATAGTCACTTTTTTTTTTTTATTGAGAAATTAAAGAAAATTTACATTAAACATTTATAAACATTTCTAAACAAACATTTAGTAAGAATCTTATATTAAATGATGGACGTTCAAAATAAGCACTTGAAATAAAAGCAAAAAGAAGAGCAGTATAAGTAGTCCCCTCCCGACCTTCTGCATCATTGGGTACATTACATTTAGAACCTAAATAAATTTGTGTATTACATTTGCAAACTTGAAGCTCCACACTGTTTAATACCATGTGACTTGTTGCAATAACCAGGGAGAGGAAGGATTAAGAGCTTCATACTCCAAACCGGTTCTAAAACTATGTGAGAAGCGTTTCAAGCAGTTTGTTCCCACCTTCACCATAATTCACATCGAATGTGTTTTGAACAGGCAGATTTCAAGTCAGGGAGATTGAAATGCCCGGATGAATAGGCTAAGAGTCTAGAGAGACTATACAGCCTAATGGATTTTTATATAAAAGACAAAATCAATATGTTATGTCTTCCTGAAGCAATTACACACATCTTGCACTCAATTCTCTTCGTCACTGTCATCTGGACTGATTGCTGGGCTTGTAAGACTGTACGTGGGAGAAGTAGGGCTGTAACCAGGAGATGTGGGAGAATATGTGGAGCCTTTTGGGCTGGTAGGAGAATAGGTGGGTGAAGTGGGAGAATATTTTGGGGAGGTAGGAGAGTAGGTAGGAGATGTGGGAGAGTATTTTGGTGAGGTTGGAGTATAGACAGGTGAAGTTGGAGAATACGTTGGAGATGTAGGAGAATATTTTGGGGTTGTGGGAGAGTAGGTAGGAGAGGTTGGAGAGTACTTGGGAGAAGTTGGCGAGTACTTGGGAGAAGTTGGGGAGTACTTGGGAGAAGTGGGTGTGTACTCTGGGGAGCTGGGGCTGTAAGATGGGCTTGTTGGGGTGTATTTTGGACTAGTCGGGGAATAACTGGGCGAGCTTGGACTGTAGCTGGGTGAACTGGGAGTATAGCTGGGAGACTGTGGTGTGTAGCGTGGGCTGGATGGAGAATAGCTGGGGGATGTGGGGGAATAGCTGGGGCTAGTGGGACTGTAATTTGGAGATGTAGGAGAGTAACTAGGAGAAGTCGGGCTATAACTAGGAGATGTAGGGGAGTAACTGGGAGATGTTGGAGTATAGTTAGGTGATGTAGGAGAGTAGTTCGGAGAAGTGGGTGAGTATGAGGGAGAAGTAGGGCTGTATGATGGAGATGTGGGAGAATAACTGGGTGATGTGGGGCTGTAACTGGGAGAAGTAGGGGAGTAGCTCGGTGATGTGGGGGAGTAGCTGGGAGAGGTGGGCGAGTAGCTAGGAGAAGTTGGGGAGTAACTTGGGGAGGTAGGAGAGTAGCTGGGAGAAGTTGGGGAATAGCTAGGAGACGTGGGAGAGTAGCTAGGAGAGGTTGGGGAATAGCTGGGGGAGGTGGGAGAGTAACTAGGGGAAGTTGGAGAGTAGCTAGGACTGGTAGGGGAGTAGCTAGGACTGGTAGGGGAGTAGCTAGGTGAGGTGGGGCTATAGTTGGGGCTGGTAGGAGAGTAAGATGGAGAAGTAGGACTGTAGGAAGGGGAGGTAGGGGAATAACTTGGACTTTGGGGAGTGTATCCACCTGGACTTCTTGGTTCATAAGCTGGAGAGGTAGGAGAGTAGCTTGGCGACATGGCACCACCTAAAAAGAAAGTAAACATAAGTTATAATTATGTTAACAGAGATCTACACAACGCCCACCTCCGGACAGAAAACACAATTATATGAGATTGGCTCATTTACTTACCGGGAGATGGAATATAGGGACTGGACGGTCCTGGAGAACCAGGAGAGCCAGGAGTTGGTGACCACGCAGGAGAATATCCAGGGCTAAAGCCGCTAGCATCAGAGGCGGCACTCGGAGAGAAGCCAGCAGCCCCGGGGGTCATACCGCTTCCTGTATAGAAAAAAAAAAAAAAATGTAAAAAGATTTCAGTTATAAGCATATAGCAGAGATATCCCTCCACACAGGGAGTGTAGAAAATGGTATGGGGCGTAGACTGAAATGGGAGGAATATTCACACTTTACATTTTATGTAGCTATTGAATTTCCTGTATCATTACACTCTTCATTGAAACCTCAAATATGAAAAACGTCAAGAGTGGCAAATGTAACTATGTTTTAGCATCAAATTTAAGATAAACACCTACTTCTCCCAGCTCCACTGTAGTAACTACTTCGATTCTTTATTAAAATGGTTACTCAGGGGGGCGGAGCTTGACCATCGAGCTATACAGACGCCGTTCAAACAGGCTCCGCTGTCAAATTGCCCAATGCGAGGAAAATCTCATCACCTTGAGCCAATCCAGCTTCCAAAAGCCACCAGCTGGACTTCCTACCTTCACCTGAGGAGATAGATGCCATTCTTCGCGGCGTCCACCCAGCCGAAGCGGAAAACCGGGGCCTACCCCACGCTGACACTCCCAGACCTGGAGAAAATATTCAGCGGCTACGAAGCGCGTGACAGAGCCTCCCCCCAGAGATCAGACCAACCTGTTCACACGCCAGCCATGGGCCGCCGATCACAAAGACCACAAGCTGCAGAACACTGCAAGGATATAGGGGTCATGCACCAACGGCCTACTCTGGCTAAAATCACCTCCGCGGAAATCCCGCGTTCAGCAACTCACTCCCATCACACGGAGCCACCGGAGCCAGCAACAACCCCAGAAACCCAAACAGAGCAGCAACCCCAACCCGAACCTCCAGCAGACATGACCCCAACTTCCAGAAACGACCTGGAAATCTTACTATTGGTCATCCAAAAAATTCTGGCAGCAGAACTAGCCCCCATCAAAACAGAAATCACAGCCACCACTAACAGGGTGCAAGCATCCGAAAAACACAGACTTACAGTCCCACCTAGCTGAAATTCAAGTGTAACAAGTCTGGACACAAAGTCATGATGGCACAGCAGACTGCCATGGAGGAACACCACCGGAGCATAAATATAAAAATAAGGGGCATCCCGGCAGCCATTTCATCAGACGCCTACTGGCCACTATTCTACCCCACGCCACATTAAAGAAGATGGTCACAGGGGAGATATAGCGCCTACCCACACCAGCAAAGGCGCTCTCAAACGTGATGCGATACTCAGGTGTCCAACGGTCCACAACAAGATACAGATCATGTCCGTGTAAAGGTAAAACACCTCTGACCTTTGAGGGCGCTAGCCTGACATTCTTCCAGGACCTCACAAAATCCACCCTTATGTGACGCAAAACCTTCAGTACCCTCACTAACGGACTTAGAGCAGCAGGCATAACTTACAGATGGGGGGGCAAATGGATCCCTGGTGATACACCAGAACAGAACCCAACACATACTTACCTCAATGGAGGAAGCACCCCCTCTTAGAGTCCCTGGGACTGAAGCTCCCGACTGCTAACCCACCCCCGAAACCCTCTACTGCTAACTGGGACTCGAACACACCACACCATTTGTCCCAAGGAACAGAAGCCTCCGGGCCCAGGAACCAAACCAACCTCAGGAGACTGGCTGACGACGAGTACCGGCGGAAGTGACCCTTCCCCAGAAACTGACTTTGCCTTAACAAGTCTAAAGACTACAACGTTTTATTTCCCTCGTTTCTTTTTCCTTCCTCCTCAACCTCTCTGTTGAAATGGCTTATATGACATATGATGTTTCTCAAGTTTATGTTTTACGTTGATGCTATTTTCCTCGGCGGAGATAATCTCATTGATAGCTCATGATGGACCAAATATAGACACCGACCTCAACTGTTTGACATTACACGTTCAGTACGGCTCACATCCACACGATATGACGCCAAATACGCACAAGGCTATCAAATCTGAGACAGGGTCGTTCAACAAACATGTAACAGGGCCACAAGTACACTCGTACCAAACCCCCCTCTCCCCCCAAAACATTTACACCCAAATAAGCCATAACCACTTCTTCTATGGCCTCCCAGCACAAGGGACAAGGATGCTAGGACTGACTAGGCGACCCCACACTTATGCCTAAATAAATGTCACACATAGCAGAACCTAGATCCGCGTTTATAGCATGTTAAAAATTTTAAAACGGTGCAGACGCACATAATGTTATACTCATGCAATAACTGTATATCAGAACTACTATTGCGCAATAGAATGTTTATCGTATGGCTTATGCAACGCACTGCAAAAAAAAAAAAAAGAATTAAAAAAAAAAAAAAAGTTACTCAGGTGTCAGCAGAATATACAGTGAATTTTGATCAAGGCCTCCTTACAATTTGTGCCTTTCGTTGTCGCACTGGTGAAGTTATCTTACAGAAAGCAGTCTTAAACATCCCTTTTCAAATACTTTGAGCCAATTACAATGTTCTCTAACCAGACCAGTAGCCGTGGAAGGCATCTTTTGGGCCTTGGTAAAATAAAAGCACTCAATGATTCAGTCTAACTTTATGCATACCGAGACTTGGGGACCAGGCTCCATATGCAGGTGTTGCTCCTTGATTCCACGGGGTCATTGCAGGTGACATATTGCCCATGGGGCTTGGAGCAGTTCCAAAAAACATACCGGTTGCTGTAAAACAAAGATAGTTAACATAACATCATGGACATTTGGAAACAGATCCTGCTTGGTGTAAACAGCAAAAATTTAAAATCCTGGCTAGATTTGCTCATGTACAACACGACCAAGAAACCTACCAACATGTACCTTTCCATGTACATTGATTAATACCCTACTTGAGCAGATTTAAAACTTGGAGAAATTCTTTATTCCAATACTACTCCCAGGAGTCACTTACAGATACCATAATTTTTTGCACTATATATTTACCCCGCACCCTCCAAAACTTACGTCCAGCTGCTCCTAATCCAGGGATGTTGGTTGGAATCTCCATTCCAAATTTACACTTCTCTGCATCTAGCAACAAGTCGAAGCAGCCAGTTCCAGCGGGAGCCAGCTGACCCAACATGATGTTCTCAGACACTCCCTTCATGGGATCAGTTTCTCCATGTGCTGCAGCTTCCATGAGAACGTCCACCTGTACAGAGATTGTGTTACCCACCAGTAGTTTGCCAAAACAAGAAATTACACACACACACACACACATATATATATATATATACACATACATACATACATACACACACATACACACTATTGTGCAAAAGTCTTGGAACACCACTAGATTTATTGTTTAGCAATAGTATGACAATATATAGTTATTCCTCAGTCTCTTTATTAGAATACAACCAGAATAGACAGGAAGTTTGTATGCAGTATGTATTGCAAGGCACCTCTCAAAGGAAAATCTGCCAACAAACTGGATATTCAAACAGTTGTAAAGAAATATGAAGAATCAGGAGAGGTCATGGACAAAAAATAGACTATAAGGCCAAGAAAACTTTCAAAATCTGATAAATGTGAGTTTCTTCCAGAAGAAGTCCAGCAAGGACCTGGCTCAGCATCTGGCAGTCATCGGGATGCCAAGATGACCATTCAATAGTCCTAAGAAGTTTGATCAAGTATGGTCTTTGTGGAAGGGTAGCAGCCAAGAAACCACTTTTCAGAGGGGGAACATGGTGGCTAAGATATGCCAAGATTGGAATGTATACTCTCCCACAAAGACCATTCATGATCCAGCTTCTTCAGACAACATGGCATCCTGATGAAGCTGCTAGATGCACTGGCACTCCTTGGAGCACAGCATAGTGGGGGGGTGCGACTCAAACGAACAAGAAATCGGCGCAGTGCTACATTCAACAAGTGCTATTTGTCATTGAGGAGGAAGATGACTGATTATTTTATGAAGATCTGAATAGGGTATGTCCAACTACAACATATGTATTTGTTATGCTTTCATCTTGTATTTGTACTTCATAATTTAGGTTTTCAATGGAAAAAATTTGGAAATGGAAAGGAATCCATGTTTACTACATTGTGTCTATGGGAAATGAGTTTTCACTGTATGAACTCTGCTTCGGAACCAATTCGTTCATAAAGTCGGCAACTCCCTGTATGTAGTCATTGCTAACAAAATAAATCGTGGACTCGGACGTGTGTGTGTGTGTGTGTGTGTATATATTTATATATATAAAAATATTACTAAAAAAAAAAAAAAAAAAAAAAAAAAAGACACTTACGGTCTCTTCAAAGGAACATTTCATGAGAGGTCCGGTGTCCTGACGGTTAACACCATGACGAGTAATTGCCATGAGATGCCCCCTACAAGTCATAGTGTCACACAGAAGCGCCAAGTGACGGTAATTCACATACGACCCATCGAATGAGATCACGTGGTACAATTCTCTTTCCAAGGCTTTCCTAACTGCTTCAATACCTAGAACCTACAGAATAAAAACCGAGGGAAATTAGAAAGATGCGCATATTTGGACTTGAACAGTCTGTTTTAAGAGGGAATCTGATCTTACTGTAAAAATCTCCACAATGTCATTGGATGTTGTTCGAACAGGATCCACATCTTTCTCACTTAGGACGCGCATCAGGCTGACACCATCTGTTTCCAGGATCCATTCTTGAAGAGCCTTAAATTCTCCATCTTCTGTGATAATTATTTTCTTTTTATTGTCTGTCTGAGGAAGATGCATATACACCTATGCAAGACAACAGCGTATATGTATTTATATAGATAAAAAATGATGACAATTACAATGCGTGTCAAATGTTGCCCAGTAACAGTCTGCCAGTTTGATCCCCTCCACCCTTTAGAGTTTTACCTTGCTTATTTGTTCAATGCCCTGCAGTGTCATGTCTGTTAGCATGTTCGATTCAATACAACGTAAAAACACATCATCATCCATCTTATCCACCACTTCTTCCTCCTGAGGAAAACAAGGAACAGTTAAACCACAAAGCAGCACAATACAAGTCTGGAACTTTAGGAAACCTGTACAGTGCGCATGTCCCTGTCATTGTCCATCATATAAGCACATTACTTCCCATACAGACTTACAGATCAGTAATTGGTCTTCCCGTATTAAATGCCACCAAACAAATCACATGTATTCCCTGCAATTTACCTCTCTCCTACCATTCACCTCTAGAAAGTCTGTTTCAAATGCCTTTACTCACCTCCTGCATTTTGCTCTCCTCACTGTTCATAATTCTTATTCGAAGAACCAGCTTTTCGGCATTGTCATCATTAAATATACAGTTAAGATCGTCTCCAAAACCTGAAAGAGCAGAGAATGTGAGAGGGATCAGTACTTGGTCAGTAAGTAGTAAAATCTGGATCCAGAGTGAGAGCACACAGAATAGCAGTGGAAAAATCAGAAAAACAATGCAGAATGCTACCTGGGAACAAGTGGGCAGTTGAATAAGGACTAAAACCAAGCTCAAACAATCTAACCTGCATTGATCTTCTCGGCTATCTGTTCCATGGTCAGTTTTCGGTCTGTCATGTGTTTGCGATCCAGCTCCACACGAAGAAGCCACGGGGAGATTCGGGTGACATCAAAGTCCGGCATTTCATAGTACACGTTCACCCACTCTTGATCTTCAGCCACAACCGTATTTTGAGGATTAGGATCGTAATAAATGGCAGTGTTGGCAGTGACTTTACGTAGAGTTGTGTGCTCCAATCGACAAAGAATATCCTAAGTGGGAAGTAAAAACCGTGATCACCTCATGGAAGCTTGAGACTCAACTCACAAGAAAGTGTTCAGCACGGGTTGCTTCACATGGTAACAAAGCCTAACCACACATTTTCTCACCTTGGCTCGTTCAGCATCTCGAGCAGACTGCCCCAGCAAGAATACAGTCAATGAAGGAGTCTTTGGTTTCTTTGATATATTTATTAACTCTTTCAGACGTGGCACCCCCAGGGTGACATTTTTAGCAGACACACCAGCATAATGGAAAGTGTTCAGGGTCATCTGAGTGGCAGGCTCCCCCAAAGACTGAGCAGCCAAGGCTCCCACCATCTCCCCAGGGTGGGCCTGAGAAAGAAGAAATCAAAGATTAAACAAACTGCACTTTTAAGCAGTCACAGTTAATCGCATGCAGCAGGTTGCCATTTATACTTACGATGGCCTGGTTGAATTTTGACTCAATCTCCCCTAGCAGCCAGTCAAAGGCCTCTCCACTCAATCTGAACTCCTCCACCATCCTCCTGCTGCACAGAGTGGACCGCAGGTGAATGTTAAAGAGAAGAGTGGCATTCTCCTGAGCTTGGCGACTTAGAGGATCGTCTCCATTCACAATAATCAGTTTCTTGCTAAGCTCCTTAACACCTGAAATAAAAGTTGGTTTAAAACATTAAAACAGAAATAGGGGGCATCGCTTGAAAAAAGTCTGTACGTAACGTAAGGCAGCATACAATGGATAGAGGGGACAGTATGCAGAACTCATTGAAGCATCTTTGACATGCAATTCCTATATTGTTAAATAAATGTTGACCTGTATCTTTCTAGTGACAAACTTTAATGAATTAAGGTAGACTCACAATAGTACAGGTAACACCATAAACTTGTTCTGAGGCCCTAAAACTAGTCAATATGGCAGTTTTAAAACCAAATCTAGTTAAAAAGATGAAATAAGGGAACAAGGTGTAAGTAAGTGAGATCCAAGAAGTTCCCATCTACAGACTTGAGGGAGAAAATATAAGTGTAATAGTAGAGTCAGAGTTATACCCTGGAAAAGCTGCTGCTGGTTTATACAAGTGGAAAGACTTAATAGGACAAGATTAATCAGGACAGTTTGCTCATTACAGATACAGTATATTTCCATGGATTACACTATTCTGGCAGTTTTATTCTGTATATGGATCAGATACGTTTACAGACTGCACAAGGACTCACCATCCACCACTTTAATGGGGTGCAGATCAGAAGGCATTCGAGTATTAATATGGAATATTTTCTGTGCGTTCCAGATCATCCTTAGAAGGTTACATGGAAGAACAACCTGTGTTTGGAAGAGATTGTAAAAAAATTTGAATTAGCCATCAAAGAGCATAGTGTTCGCCACTCAAGTCAAAACTCTGCAAGGTTGCCACCAGTAAGCACACCATGCACCAAGAATCTGTGGAACTGGTACCTTGCTGTCCCCAGTGGGGAAGATAACCCTCAAGACTTCTCTGTCTTCCTTCATCTTCTCAAATTCCTTCTCCAGTTCATTCTGAATGTGAGCATTACTGAGTATGTCCTTCACAACCTCCTCCTGAAGCGTCCGACGCAGGGCGCGCTCGTTGGCGTAGTCAAACTTAAACCTGCCAGAAACATTTACAGATCAGAACAAAAAGCAGGAAGAAATAGAATGGGAGGTGCATTTAAATCCTATAGGCACCCAGAGCATGTCATCTCATTGAAGTGGTCTGGGTGCAGTGTGCCCGTCCGTCCCACTTAGCTTTGCAATTTAAAACATTTCAATTTTACATTGCAGGGTTAATACTGCCTTTAGTGACTGTCTTCCAGTGGCTGACTTGATTGCAAAATTATAAATGCAAGATTGCATTTTTGCCACTTTTCTGAGAGGCCAGAATATATCCCTTGATTCATAATTTAAGGGTTTCCAATTGCTGGGCAGACAGGGTTACACAGCTGGAAAGATCTTCCAGGTATCTACTACTCCTCACAATAGGGTCAAGCAGAACCTCAGAGAATAGGAGGGCTCTCCACAGTTTAAGCAACAGAATGAATAATTTTACAACTGGAATGGACGTCCACAGATAGCCTACTGCCTGGGAGACGCTATTCAAATAAAATCAGTGTGCAAAGTTGGCAGAGTGGATTGGACTCTCAGTTCTGGCACAATTTGTTTCCACTCATAGATAAAAGCAGTAGCCATGAGAACACAGATATTGCACAGTGTACAGATACTCACTTCTTCTCAAAAGCCTTGTTAGAGGGTTTCAAGGTGGCCAAGTTCTGAAATTCTACTCCTTCTCCAGCCAAGCCGTCCTCACCATATCTCAGCTGTACTACCTGGTTAATTGAATTCCGCACAGTTGCATCATATTTTACCATAACCGACTCCATAGACTTGATCAAACGTCTCTGGATGTACCCTGATTAGAACAGAATAAAAAGTATTGGTAAAATGAAGCAGTAAAACAGAGCTCTGTATCTTGGCCTACACCAATACGACAATGGAGGAGGACATAATTGGTGTCTTCTAGTACCGCCATACTGACAAGCAAGATATCTAGGGGAGGAGAGGGAGGTTTAAATTTGGATGTATGAATGTGCTATTGCATGTCTATATGTACGTAGCTCTGTGAGTCAATTATGAGATTGTATGTAAGTTATAGGATTGTGACTGCATGTTCGTATGAATAAATTTTTGGCAGGTAAATGGCTGGCTGCATAGGTGTGCGGGAGAGCTGATGTCCATTATTGGCATAGTTCAACCAAAACCTTAAATACACTGCTCGTAGAGAATATCTGCCTCATATGAGAAGACTTCAGGAATAAGGACAAAAAGATGGCTATAGACATTTACCTGTCTCAGCAGTTTTCACAGCTGTGTCAATCAGACCTTCTCTTCCTCCCATAGCATGGAAGAAAAACTCTGTGGGAGTAAGGCCAGCAAGGTATGAATTTTCCACAAAGCCCCTACTTTCTGGACCGTAATCATCTTTGATGAAGTGAGGTAGAGTCCGATGCTTGAACCCAAAAGGGATACGTTTACCTTCCACGTTTTGCTGCCCTACGACAGCAATAACCTGTTGGAGAAAACTTTGTGAGACAGTTCACTTTTAAAATGCCACATGATTGTTGCAATTGCTCTGCTAAATCACCTGGGAAATGTTGATTTTTGATCCTTTGGCACCAGAAACCACCATGGATTTGAAATTATTATATTCAGACAAAGATTTCTGGGCGGAGGAGCCAGTTTTGTCCCTGGCATCATTCAGAATACGGTTCACCTGGTTCTCAAATGTCTGACGAAGGGTATTTCCTGGGGTGGGCTCCAGTTCATTGTTATGGGCCTTCTCAATGACCTGCAAATACCAGAAGAAAGCATTGATGAGACTCTTCACAATGGCACCCAAAAATTAACACAAAGCCCACTGAAGGGCTGGAACGCTTACCTCTATCACATCCTGTTTAGCCTTCTTGATGGTATTCTGAATGTCTTGATAGGTTTTAGCATCAGCAATGGAATCTCCAATTCCAATTGTGTGGCCTACATTGAACAAGCATATCAATAACAAGCCACAGGGTCAACCATAGCAAACAGTACTCAACACAAAACCAATGCAAACAAAAACATCAGTGTTGCTTTAAACCATTCTTCCTTTTATTATGTAGTATCATATCTGAACTAACCTTCATCTATGTTTCTGGAAGACTATTCCAGGTATCTACTACCCTTCCTATATTGTTTAGACTATACTTGCAATTACTTTAGTGAGCAAACCATGGGAAAAGACGAATGTGACCATTGGCCTCTGGCATTTTTGACTTGGAGACTCCCGCAGTAAAAGGATAAAGGGAAAGGCTAAATGCAAAGGTTTGAAAACATTAAGGCGACTGCAGTCTAGTGTACACACCCTCAATAAGAAGCCAGTTATTGATGACTGTTTGGATATTGGAATAGAAGAGACGAGTGATGTCATGGCCCATCTCCAGGTAAGATATATGGACCAGAGAGCCAGCTGATGTTCCGAGAGACTTCTTACACAAAATTCCCATGATGAGCTCCCCATTCTCAACAATGACCTACAATAAGGATATTATGTGTTATGTCAGCAAGCATGGCATGGAACAGTGACTTTTTCCGATTCCTCCTCCAATACAGACCTTTGTGTCTCCAGGTGAGATGTGTTTGTAAGGTCCACTGTCTTCTTCATCTGGATGTGTGCTGTGTGTTCGAACACAGTTTATGTGTCCTGGAATGATGAGAGAGAAAATCTGCTTTCCCGTCCATAAAGGACGTGGCTTTAGGATAGCGGGCTGAGGAACCTTTCCATCCCAGGTAGACAGGAACATAAGCAAGTTCATCACCTCACCCTAAATAAAACAAAATACAAGACAAATTAGTGCAGATAATTCACAGTAGGCTGGTTCAGCTGGGGACGTATGCGCCATCTTTGAGAGTGTCAGAATCTTCAAATGTTACATTTGAATCGTACCAAAGTATTTAGCAACTTGAGTCCTAAGTGGCTACATAATACTATGTTGTAGCTTTGTGACCACATTACTATAAAGTTTCTTATTGTGGCAACAGGAATTTATCCAGGGACACTGGCTTTTAGCATTTAACAAAGTTTTTAAATTGCCGTTATATATAGTTTAATAAGCTACCAAGGAATGTTCTAACTTAGATTTTTACTACTGGCTCATACAGACTTACTGAAATTCCTATTCCATATTTGTATTCAATTTATACGGTTAGCCAAGGAGTTACCAGGTTAACTCATTGCTTAGCAGAGATGCCCAGTCTCTGGCAGTCCACCCTCAAACTATGGTACAGAGGCGTAAAGGTTATGTTTATACAAATTAGTTGAAGTGGTTATGGTACTTTACCTTTTAAGGTTGCTACAATTATTTAAGTATTTCACTTAGGCATGTAATCTATGCTAATGCCACACAGTGTCCCTCATCCAAAAACCATTTCCCAGCCCAAAACACTCACTAGCCACGTATCTATTGGACATTTCTACTCATTACATACAGGTCCTGAAATCTATTTCTCACCCTTTCCATGAACACGTCTCTCTTGGTGAATTTGCGCACAGCAGTTAAAGAGTCCTGCACAATTCCCATGACTGGTCGGTTGGACTGAGGAGTCACGATCATACGTGGTACCATAGCCAGCTCCTGAATTTCGGCTCTTGTCTCCAGAGACTGAGGAAGATGGAGGTTCATTTCATCCCCATCAAAATCAGCATTGTATGGAGTGGTAACACTAGGAATGAAAAGGACAGTTAATCCCACCATCCTTCTCCAAGAGATGTCAGTTTTCAAAAAAAATGAAAGCACTTACCTGAGGTTCAGACGGAAGGTGGACCATGGCAGGATTCGTACCCTGTGGCCCATCATAGACATCTTGTGCAATGTAGGCTGTCTGTTGAAAATGACTATATCCCCATCACACATGTGTCTCTCCACCTATTAAAGACAACCAGAAATAAAGTAAAAGTTATCAGTAGTTAAGCTCAGTAAGACATGTTCTAATAACTTCTCCAGGTCGAACAACATTGCTCAATGTCCTGTAGATTCCGGCATTCCATTCAGAGCCCAAATAAAACATTGCTTGAGAGTATTAAGAATGTGTAACAAGCATTTATATAGATTTAAATACCTAGAAATGAATATATATATAGCCTGGATCCTGATAAAAGTCCCGTATGGGGAAAGAAACGTTAATCTTTACTTTTAATTTATTTTGCTAAAATTTGACTTTTAAACATTGAGAAGATCGTGAATGCAAACTTCCCTGTCGACATATGTACACACAACTGACAATTCGTAAAAAGTGTGAAATAAACTCAAGAGTCGGTGCCTAGTAAGTACTGCCCAACAAAGTCCTTCATTTACATAAATTTCCAAATGATTTAATACTTTTGGATAAACTTTTCAAAATACATTTTTAAACATTAAAATATCAAGATTATAAAATTTATATCATTTTCATATTCAATAATTCGGAAAGCCTATCCTAATATTAAAGCCTAAGTGAAGGATGAGTTGGGGACTCTCACATGTAGTCTGCCGAAGAAAGCAGGCAACTTTTAGGTAAAATGGGGACAATGGAGAGACACGGGGAGTGTGAAATGGTCAGAGGCATAATAAAAAACAGTAATGGGAGAGACAAGGGAAGGGGGCGATTGTGAAGAGGCTGGGGAAAGACATGTTGGAGGTAAAGTAGAAAAAATTGAGGAGATCAGGAAAAAATCTTCAAAACAATTCTACAGATTTCATCCAGTAGGCTGGAACCAGACATCAGATCACTTTTCTAAGGCTCAAACAGAACCATCTCATTGACCTGTAAGAATTGCAGGCAGTCATCTGACTATTTCCAAAAGGGTTGTGCATCCCTATTTTAAGATGTAAGAATGAGGAAATAAGTCTTACCTTGTACCCAATCTGAAGGTGCAAGTCGCTGGGTTTGGGGTGGAACCGAAGATCAATACGATCTCCATTATCTCTGATAATATACTTGGCTCCAGGATACTGACTATTCCCTCTACGTACCAGCTCCTGCAGCCTAAAATGAACAGTACATCAGCATCTCAAATTCACATAGAACATTACATATTATGAACACAAACATAAGAACTATCTCACCGATCTATGTTGAAAGGAGTTACTATTTCCGGGAAGGTCATATTTGCAGCAATGGAACGAGGCACTCCAACCTGATCAATTGAAAGATTAGGGTCGGGGGTGATTACTGTTCGGGCAGAGAAGTCCACACGCTTTCCCATGAGGTTTCCTCTCACACGTCCTTCCTTCCCCTTTAATCGTTGCTTCACAGACTTTAAGGGGCGACCAGATTTTTGCATAGCCTGGGAAAACAGTGTCAGAGAACATGTTTTTCCAAAACAAGTGCTTTTACAGAAAGTACACAATGTCACCAGGACACTCATTCACTGAAAAACTGAATGAGAAATTGGTCCCATTCCCAGAAACACCCAACAAGCCTTGTTCGATGTTAGACACCAGGCTATTAAATTGACACTCAGGTTACCCAACCAAACAACCTTCCACTATAAACACTCCATCCTCAGAGGGATATAAAAAGGTTAAGAAGCATCTCATTCCTCAGCTTTCTTACCCGAGGAAGTCCTGGTAGCTCATTGTCCACCATGGTGGCAACATGGAACTGGAGAAGTTTGACATCTTCCGCAATCACATGTGCTGCAGCACCATTCTGCTCATTACGTCTCAACTGATTGTTAATCTTCACAATATCAGCCAGTTTATGAGTCAGATCATCCTGGAAGAGGAGAATATGTTAAATCCATTCTCGCTAGACTGAGAAAGTTATTTCTTACATTCAGAAAGTCAAGTTACAACAGGTTTCCTTGTGCACATGGAACACTAGCTTAAACCTTTCAACAGTCTGAAGAGCTTTCTCACCTGGTTTCTAGCAGAACCCTGCATGACAACTGCAGGCCTTACACAAAGAGGTGGAACCGGCAGGACTGTTACAATGAGCCACTCCGGGCGTGCATATCGGGGCTCCATACCCAGGATAAAGCATTCCTCATCTGTGATCCGTTTGAAGATCTCATGTACACGTTCTGGACTAAGCAAAATCTTCTTTTCTTGTGAATCCTCATTGACATGTTTCCACTCTGCATACAGTTCCAAACCAGAGCGTCTGATTCGTGGCTGGTAACGTCCACATCCACCATGACCCTTTAACAGTCACAGAAGAAAAGATTAGACCAAAAAATGAATATGAAACATGCACAAAAGGGAAAGTCACTCTTTTCCCTGGAAAGTTGAGCTGTGGGCTATGCATTCTTTATGGTACAGCATGGCTGGTATTCGTTTTTAAAACTGCTCCAATTGGACTGTGTCCTGATCGTAACTGCAAACAGGAAGCGGATAACATACTTATTTCAAACACCCACTAGATAGGATTTAGGGGACATAAAATGCCCCAAAGACATGCAGCTCACATTGGTGTGGGATGAATCTGCATGCAGGTCTACATGCAGTGCACGTTAGCTTTTTTCCTGGTTTAAAGTTAGACCCCATCACCCCCCCCTCCAAAAAAAAAAAAAAAAAAGAATCGTTATAAAATACCAATTTTTATGGAGTTGGAATTTTACTGAGAAGGACTACTTTGTCACCTGACACTTCTAGACACTGGGCAGAACTATCGCCATATAGAAATGTCAAACAGCCATTATCCCACAGACCTCAATGCTGAGCTCTCACGAATGCGTGAGTACAGCAGCGACATTGGCTCTGCTGAAGATGAAGGCCATGGATGGAAGGGACAGATTTATTTAAGATGAAACCCCAGCAGCAATGCCACAGTCAGGGCTCTTTACAAATCTGGAAAAATCTCCAGACTGACCGTGGCGCTTTAAGCATAGGGGAGTTTTTACACAGAATTATCCTTTAATATCTAGTCCAGGCATGCACAAATGCAAATTACTGCGGCAAGTTGTACCAAAAGATAGAACTTGTAGGTGGCCATGCTCTTACCTCAGAAGTAATGATGAGTGTAAAGTCCAACTCTTAAGCTATTAGTTTGCTGGCAGTTTCACTGCATTTCATTACATTGTAAGTTAAATTTGCATCAAATCTAAAGAACAATTGCCGCTGAGAACACATCATTGAAGATGCTGCTCAGAATGAATCTGTAGTATTAAGGAGACAGCAAGAGCCTAGAAAGTACCAACTCACCTTTTCTTTCTGAATGTCTTCATCTCCCTCATTCTGCTCAACTCCAAATTTGTTGTCCATCTCCTCTCCTCCTTCGCAGATGTTTTTCCCCTTACACAACTCATATACATGGGTCAAGCGCTTCTTTGGCTGCCCTTTTGATTTTGTCAGAATGTCCTTAATCTTTGGGTTGTTCTGTAAGATATAATATATGTTTAAACGTTATGGATTATGAAGCTACACGTTTGGAGGCAGACCTGCTCTACCAAATCTGTATGCAACAGTAAGGAGATGGGAGAAAGAATATATAAACAGTGGTATATTTCACAGGGCTTTATTTTGTAGTACATGAAATCCTAATTAAAGCTGGACCACGATTTGTGGGTCATGCTAAGGCTTACCGCATCAACCAGCAGTTTGGAGCAGAAGAAACAAACGCATCTCAAAACTTTCATGGTCTTCACTAGAAAACCCACATGGAAGACTGGTTTGGCCAGTTCAATATGTCCAAAATGACCAGGACACTCTGTCATGTTACCTGTGAGAACAAATGGGAAATGTTTATATCATAGAAAAGCGCAAGTTCTAATTAAGAGAAGAAATGTCACTCTGCACTATACCTGCACATGTTTGACAGCGGCCCGTCCTCTCTATCACCCCTTGGCGTGGATCCATTAGTCCGCCAAGTTTAGGGCGTCCACCTTCTGTTGTCTCTGGATATTTAATGCCACCTTCTGTAACAGACATACGTTTCTGCAGGAAAACAAGAAAATGAAGGGGTTATTTCAACATCAGAACCAATACAGCCCACTTTAATGGTTAAGATGCAAAGAGTACCCTGGGTCTGGTTCCCCATTAATGGGGCAAACCATTTAGCAACAGCTTGCCGCATTACCTGGGTCTCCAATGGGAACTTATGCTCCCTGATTTCTGCAGAAGCCATAGCCATTCATCGACTGAAAGCATCCACTGACTATTCTCAGAAAACGAATGCAATAAGTTGTAAAGAATTGGCAAGTCAGGAACCCTAGCAAGGGGGTTAAACTATTTACAGTGAAATGCTGCACATACACATCCAATTGATTGATGTGGTTATGATGCTGTGAGCAACCCCTAAAGACAGCTATTACACGCAATGTTTGAACCATTAAAAAGCAGCAAGAATCAGTACAGTCTCCCCAGTGAACATGGATTCTAGAGGAGTATGGAGGCTGTCCGATGAACATGCACTATAGTAGAGTTTGGGGATATAGACAGACCAATCAAATTAGTCTCTAGAGAGGAGCTGGGATAAAAATGCACAACAAAAACAACCAGGCAGGGAAAAGTAGTGTTGTTAAATCAGTCACCAGATGAATGGCTATGTGAGATAGTGGGTATATAAAGCTGGCCGTTAGACCAGAACCGAGACACTGAGCGATAAATGTCACCTGAGGAGCATGGACTATAGGAAAGAGTAGGTATATAGACGGTCATTGAATCAGAGCTTAAAATTTGGGTATGCTACACTGCTAGTCAGGCCTTAAAGGTTTTCACTTGCCAATGGCCATCAGTAAATGGACATTTTGAGCCCTGTAGAGAAAGCCTGGGGCCCGCAGCTTATATATATATTTAAAGTGGGCAATCTGCAAGTCCCATTGTCAAGGTTGTAAGCTTCAAAAACTAAAATATTGAAGTCAATGATTTGGGCCATAACGTCATTACCCTGGGCAATGGTAAACATGAGGCCATTGCTGGTTGTTTTACTACAGGAACACATTAGATTTCTGAAATAAGCCATAAAAATGGAAAATAAATAAAAAATAAATAGGTGAATACCGCCAAAGAATTGGTGACAATATAACCGAAAAAACAAAATACATTATATGAAATACCCCTTCTACTTCTAGCAAATGCACCTATACGGTTATCGTTATTCGTGAACTGTGAAAATTCTTCAAATGAGACAGAAAGCAATCTGGCAAAATCCAAGATTGAAACATGTGGATCTATAACTTCACAAAATCTCTGCAAAGGCATACGTGGGAGATTACTATACTGGCAAGATGGGCGCTAGTGCTGAGAACAAAAATAAATTCACGATCAGGTTTATGAAATACACAGCAAAATAGACAGTGTTAAAATAAAATGTTTTGTGATTTGACATGCTAAAGCAGAAGTTAGGGATTTCATGTGATTATGAGCGCAATATCTGAACGGACAACGAAATAGAACTAAACAACAAGAAATTCAATTTGTAAAGAATGGTTGGATAAAGACAACGCAAAAAGGGCTACAAACATTTTCAATAGGCTTGGTCCATAAAGTGTTAAAAGTTTGCATTTAAAATACATGTTAAACATTGCGCTCAAGTTGGGTTTATGTTATGACTCCCTGCAGCTCGGGATTTATTCAATCAGAATATATATATATAAAATCAGTTGTATTATAATAATAATGATATAAAATCAGTTGTATAATAATAATAATAATATATATAAAATCCTTTCCAGTTCTATGAGGTATATATGAGGTATATACTGCTCCCCAGTAACACCCCTATACAGGTCTAGAGACAGGACATGGTATTTCCAGCCACCCCTATACAGGTCATACGGTCTATCTGGGGCACTCCAGGTGATGCACTACATCTCCCATGATGCTTTGCCAGCACTGTGGCTGTCCTGGCATTCTGGGAGATGTAGTCCATCACACACACACATATCATCTATGGAATATCCGAAATAATGCACATTATGGACACACAGAGAATAAAGTCAGCCAATCACGTGCAGCCATTACTTCCTGGTCTAGCCCCGCCTCTCTCCCAGCCCCTCCCACCGTCTCTCACCAGCTCGTCCGGGCCTAGAACCCCGAACTGGACCCGTTTGATGGTCCTGAGGGGGCAGGCGCTGTCTCCGGATGGGGGGCCGTGCATGGCGACGGCTATGGGGGCGCGATACGATATATCCCAGAGGGCTGTTCGCGTTATGGAGCGCTTCGAAACCACTCAGAGCAGCGAGTCCCTCTCCGAGGTATTCACCGCCTGGCGCTCTACGCGCTAACTGAGCTCTCACGGCTCCGACACCTCCTTTTATAGACTGAGAACCAGGGCACGGGGACGCCTATTCCAGCCAGCAGGGACAGTACGCGCGAGCTGCACAACTATTGGTTTCCTTCGCTTGCTACCTCAGGATGGGCGGAGCTAGGAGGCGCATGCGTACAGGGCTCCTGGTTCATTCAGCGAGCTTTCGCTGAGGGTGGCAACACGTCCGGTGAATGTGATTGGCCAACATCAGGAGAGGCTGGGCCTATTTCATGACAGACGTGCACTGTAGCCAATCAGCAGAGCTTCATTGGCAAAGCTGCATATTCTGCCGCTACGCATGCGCTCAAGGTTTCATGGCGGTCGCTGCGCTTGGTTCGTGTTGGTTGTAGTTCGCGGATCCGGTTTCCCGCCTCCCGGTCTCCGCTTATAATATAACTGAATGCATCCAGACACCCGGCCGAGGTCACAGCCGGATCTACAGCTGCAGGCCTCAATCCCCGGGCTGGCGTAGCTGGGCTGACCGGGAGCAGGGCGCGGCGGGTGGGGTGCGGGTCAGGAAAGGCCGCTGCTCGAGGATATCCGGCAGGCCTCAACCGCCAAATAGAAAAATATGTAGTGACGCTGTTATTCTCCCAATCTGTTTGGTAACCTCTCATTTTATATCGGCTTATGGAAGGGTTACTCACCAAACTGAGCAATTGGCTAAAAATGTCAGAAAATTTCAAATGTAAAAGGTAGGGAAATAGAAATCCTGACAATTCTCACTTCAGTCAATAATTCTGTGTGTCTGGCCTATATAGTGTGTTATATAGTGTGTGTCTGGCCTGCATAGTGTGTTATATAGTGTGTGTCTGGCCTGCATAGTGTGTTATATAGTGTGTTATATAGTGTGTTATATAGTGTGTTATATAGTGTGTTATATAGTGTGTTATATTGTGTCTGGCCTGCATAGTGTGTTATATCGTGTGTGTCTGGCCTGCATAGTGTGTTATATAGTGTCTGGCCTGCATAGTGTGTTTTTATATAGTGTGTCTGGCCTGCATAGTGTGTTATATTGTGTGTCTGGCCTGCATAGTGTGTTATATAGTGTGTTATATTGTGTCTGGCCTGCATAGTGTGTTATATCGTGTGTGTCTGGCCTGCATAGTGTGTTATATAGTGTCTGGCCTGCATAGTGTGTTTTTATATAGTGTGTCTGGCCTGCATAGTGTGTTATATTGTGTGTCTGGCCTGCATAGTGTGTTATATAGTGTGTTATATTGTGTCTGGCCTGCATAGTGTGTTATATCGTGTGTGTCTGGCCTGCATAGTGTGTTATATAGTGTCTGGCCTGCATAGTGTGTTTTTATATAGTGTGTCTGGCCTGCATAGTGTGTTTTTATATAGTGTGTCTGGCCTGCATAGTGTGTTTTTATATAGTGTGTCTGGCCTGCATAGTGTGTTTTATATAGTGTGTCTGGCCTGCATAGTGTGTTATATTGTGTGTCTGGCCTGCATAGTGTGTTATATTGTGTGTCTGGCCTGCATAGTGTGTCTGGCCTGCATAGTGTGTCTGGCCTGCATAGTGTGTTATATTGTGTGTAATTGTTTGTGTCTGGCCTATATAGTGTCTGGCCTGCATAGTGTGTCTGGACTATATAGTGTGTTATTGTGCGTGTCTGGCCTATACAGTGTGCATGGCCTATATAGTGTTATTGTGCGTGTCTGGCCTATATAGTGTCTTATTGTTTGTGTCTGGCCTGCATAGTGTGTTAGAAATATACAAAGAAGTACAAGTGGGGCGCTTCAAAAAATAACAATCCGTATACAGAAGGGTGACATAGGTGTTTTCCCCACACCTAAATAGAAGTACAAAACACCAAATCACCTACAACAAAGTGTAAGGAGTCACACAGAGTATAGCGTGTTATTGTGCCTATCTGGCCTCCATAGTGCGCTCTTTCATTGGCGTTATCCCTGCTTCCCTTAAGCATGCTACTATCGTACCAATCCTAAAAAAGCCATCCCTAGACCCGTCTTCCACTTCCAACTATCGTACCATAAACCCTTTTTCCTCAAAGCTTCTAGAAAGACTTGTCTTCACTCGTATGACTCGCTTCCTAAATTCCAACTCCCTCCTCGATCCTCTTCAATTTGGCTTTCACCCCCTCCACTCTACTGAGACTGCTCTTATTAAAGTTACAAATGACCTAATCAGAGCCAAATCCAAAGGCTACTACTCTATACTAATTCTTGACCTCTCTGCTGCTTTTGAAACTGTTGATTATAGCCTCCTTCTCCTAACTTTTCAATCTCTCGGTCTCTGTGACACAGCCCTCTCGTGGTTCTCCTCCTATCTTTTCCAACGCTTCTTTAGTGTGTCTTTTTCCAACAGCACCTCCTCGTCCTGTCTCAGTCGGAGTCCCTCAAGGTTCGTTTCTAGGTCCCATTTTGTTCTCTCTATGCTGTCTCTCTTGTAAACTCATTAATTAATTTGGAATCCAATACATAAAACCCCCTAAAAGTTACATCCCCTGATAGCCCCTATCTGGGAGACCAACATATTCAAAATTCACCCAGATCGGTTCAGGATTTTCCTGGAAGTCATAATTTGACCCACTGCCTGCATGATCCCATGCCCAAAACAGTTCCAAAGAATCAGGGCTTGCGGTCGGTTGTGATGAACTGTACCTTGTCACTGTTTCTTGGAGGGGCCTGCTTGCCAGCCTCCTGCCCACAGACTATGGACCCTGTAAACTGTGATATAAAAGTCTGTTTATGTATTTGAATTATATGGTTCGTTTACCGAGCAGCCGCACAAACCGGAGACCACCCTGGAGTTTAAGCTTCATTGATACATTGTTGCAATTTGCACTTCTGTGGTCTGTGTTCGTCTGCAATTCCTATTCCCACGAGGTGGCGGCCATCTTGTTCGTATGGACCAAAATCGCGAATAGACTTTAGGGGGACTTAGCCGCGAATGCCCTGGAACTATTTTCGGCATGAAAACTTTGCCTTTCCCGGTCAGTCCTCCAGCGGCAGTTAGCCGCAATCCTATGGAACTATTTTCGGCTATGGGGCCATGCTTGCAGTAGGTCAAATAAATGACTTCCATGAAACTCCTGAATTCATCTGGGTGATGTTGGTCACTCAGATCAGGGCTATCAGCTGATGTAACATTTGTGGGTGTTTATGTATTTTTAGGGTGTTTTCAAAAGTATGTTATTTCTGTGCTTGGAGATAATTGGATTAAAATTAGTACAGTTACTGATCCAATTAGCTCCCAAGCAGAGGGGAGGGATTGTGTAAGGGATTGTCGTGCATTGTAACCTTATTGTTATTGGTCTGTGATGTTGTAAATCAGTCCACCATCAGGTCCATGTGGGCGTACCCCCTGCATGGGGATTGTCATATAAGGCCAAGTGTGGCTCCCATTAAACTGAGATTCGTTTACCACCTTCATGAAGTCTTGGCTCATGTTTGGGGATTGCTATAATCACTATACTCCCCTGAGTAAAATCACTGTTCCTGCTATGCTCTCTGGACTAGGAGAGGTCTACTCACTGGAAGCTAGATCCTGGTTTTGGGTCCAGGGTGGGTGGAGGACGTTGAGACTCCAACCAAGCTACGGTGGTTCGTGGGGTTTATGGTGGTTATGGTGTTTCAGTACAGTGCTTATGGTGCTCGCAAGTACTAGGAAGCAGCTATTTATGGAGGTACCCGGTCGGGGTGCCAGGCGGTCCGTCACATCGCTCTAGTTCAGATGTTTAAAAACCGAACAAACTACCGAACATAGTCAGTGTTCCTTCCCTGAACAGTGCCTTTTTAAGTGTAGAACCGAACATAGGCGATCATGGAAGTCCAGCGGTGTTCGGTAATTTGTGTCGGAAAATAGTTCCATGAACTCGACGACCAAACACCGCTGTCTGTGTTCATGTGAACAAGATGGCCGCCACCTCATGGTCGTCCATAGGAAATGCGGCCACCCAGACGCACACTTAGTAAGAATTTCCACCTCAGTATTCTATGTAGCAATTAGGCTTAACGAGCCCCAGGGTGGTCTCCGGTTCGTGCGGCTGTTCGGATCCTGAACCATATAGTCCAAATACACAAATGGAGCCTTTTACATTACATTTTACAGGGTCCATAGTCTGTGGGCCGGAAGCTGGCAAGCAGGCTCCTCCAAGAGTTCATGGCAAACTCGCTTGGAAAGGGGAATTTGTCACACTGAGTTTATTATTTTTCCTCATAACCCTGATCCTCCTCCTTCATTCTCCCTGCAGGTTGACTGTACCTGCCTCACCCCATTCTTTCAAGATCGCTGTCTTGGTGTCACTTTTGATCCTGGCCTCAGCTTTGCACCTTATGTCCAGTCTGTTGCTAAAATCTGTCGATTCCAACTTAAAAACATTGCTCGCATACACCCTTTTCTTAAGCAAGATGCTGCCAAGGAGCTTGTTCACGCTCTAGTAATCTCTCGCATCAATTACTGTAATTCTCTTCTAATTGGTCTCCCCAGAAGCCGCCCCTTACAATCTGTGGTGAATGCTGCTTTCTCTCCTGTCACTCCTCTCACACCTCACCCCTCTTTTGATCCTTACACTGGATTCCTGTCTCCTACAGGTGTCAATTTAAAATACTAACCATTACCTATAAACCTATAACCCCTCTAACATTTCTTCAGTTATTCATAGGTATGCCCCCTCTTGGGCTCTCCGCTCTACTGGCGACCTTCTTTCTGCTGCTCGCAGCCTTACTGCAAATTCACGCCTGCAAGACTTCTCACGGGCGGCTCCTTTCTTTTGGAACAGCCTCCCTACCCCTGTCAGACTCTCTCCTAGTTCTCAATCATTTAAAAAGTCCCTCAAAACCCATCTTTTCAGGATTGATTATGTCCTCTCTCTCTCTCTCCTATAGGGTCACACTCCACTCTCCCTTCCAGTTCTGCTACTTTGCCACCATGTCTCTCAATACCCTTCCTATTGTGTTTTTATACCCCACCTCCTGTAGACTGTAAGCTTGTTTGAGCAGAGTCCTCAACTACCTATTCCTGTTATATTTTGTTATTGTCTCATTTGGTAAATTCCCCTTTTATTGTAATGCGCTGCGGAATAAGCTGGCGCTATATAAATACCAATTATAATTGTACATGTCTAGCCTCCTTAGTGTATTTTTGGTTCTTGCGTAAATGGTGTGTATGAATATAATTTCAGGTTTGGTGTTCAGGGATGTCTTTTATATGGTGTGTTTGCAAGTTGTGTTGGTGTTTGATTGCTAGGATGTCTGCACATGCACACTTACACAGATATACATACACATAAACTAACACACAGATACACACAATGGCACATACATACACTGACAAATATACTGAAGCACATAGACATGGATACACACTTTGGCACAAATAAATCCACACATAAACATTTGCTGTGTGTGTGTGTGTGTGTGTGTGTGTGTGTATATATGTATATATGTATGTATGTGTGTGTATATATATATATATATATATATATATATATATATATATATATATATATATACACACACACACACACATTGGCACAAAGACACGGATATACACACACAGATGCAAACACTGACCGATACACTGGCACTGACACACAGATACATACAGTGACACATACACACAGTGTCACGCCCAGATGCATACAGTTACACGAACACATACTCAGAGGCGTACACACAGATATTTGCAGTCACCCTCCTGTAAATTGCCTTTTTTTTTCTGCAGGAGGGTGACTTGCTTGGTGTGCTACTCACTCCGTGCTGCTGCTCACTCTCCATATCCCGCTCAGCGCGCTCTTTGTCTGAAAGGAAGTGACATGCTGTCAGTTCCTCCCAGCATCCCACACTACAGATGCCCGGTCACGGTCTTAAATGGCCCCTGTACAGTGAGATCGGTTGAGCAAATTTTAATCTCGCGGGGCACCAGTTGGGAAATGCATCCCACATCTACACTGTATAGTTTATTGTGTGTATCTTGCCTGTATAGTGCGTTACTTTGTGTATTTGGCCTGTGTATTTGTGTATCTAAGCTTGTATACTGCGTTTTAGTTATGCATTCCTGGCCTGTATAGTACGATATTGTGCGTATTTAAGCCTGTATAGTGTGTTATTGTTCGTGTCTGGCCTGTATAGTGTGTTGTTGTGTATAGTGCGTATCTGGCCTGTATAGTGCATATCTAAGTCTGTATCGTATGTTATTGTGTGTATCTGGCCACTGTAGTGTTTTATAGTATGTTGTTTTGTGTATATGGCTGGAATAGTATGCTCTTGTGTGTAGCTGGTCCGCATAGTATGTCATTCTAGTTGTATTGTATTTTCCGTTCCATTCAAACGTTTGCACTCAGGATGCAGCCAAAGCCTTAAAGGCATATGTTTTCCTGGCACTCTGTAGTGCCCCTCTCCCTGCCACCCCCATCCCAAGTTTCTGAAGGGATTAAAACCCCTTCAGTGACTTAGCTGAGTCCAGCACCAATGTCCCTTGGTGCTGGTCAGGCTCCGCCTACTCTCCTCCCCTGCCATCAGCTGGCGGGGGAGACCTAATGCGCATGCCGTCCTCTTTTTCGTTTAAATCTACCCTCTGCAGTGTGGTCGGGTAGGTTCTTGTTTTAAGGGCCCACGATCTGGCCATACCACTACATTTCAGTCAGACGTTCATATATCAAATCTCATGTCCACAGGTAAACATCTCGAGACTCTTACAGTCACTGGTTACTTCTACCGCGACAGCTCAAACTGACTCACATATCAGGTACTACGCCAGAACCCATTATTTTCCATGTTACGTGACCCAATTAGGAAAATTTTCTGGTCTTAATCCATAGGCTAGTGGTCCCTCGAGACAAACACCCCCTTCCTCATTCTTGGAGGAATACACCCCTCGGGCCAAATCATAGCAAGCTGTCTCGCATGGTTGCATAGAGAGGGCCTCACCTATCACTCCCATTCTATCTTATGCTTTACCTGCCACTGAGAGGCCAACAACCCGCCACAACGTGCGGTGGCCTCATACGTTTCCCTCGGGCCCGGCCGCTTGGCAATTAGCAGGGACTCATCTGTCACCATCATGAAGTGTAATTGTTTCGCCGCTTGGTATTTAGCTATCCTTACCAGTACCCACCCAATCAAACATTAGAGTGATTGATTAAAGCTACCTTATATTTTTCAGTTATGTCAAATAATCCTGATATCCCTGAGGAACTCTCGCTACCCTGCACGCCCGCTAGGCCTGGTACCCCTGTTCCTGGAACAGATGGCGCTAGTCCTTCATCTCTCACTGCAGAAGACGCTGCATCCCTTTCCCAGATACTGCTAGGAAGGCTGAGTTGTTTAGACTTTTAAACACGGCCACTGACAACTCTGGTACAGGGGAAGGCCCTAGTGGCACACAATTGCCAACGTTTCATGTCATGATGACTTCTTAGGTCATCCATCAGCACCATTAACGATAGGCTGGATAAATTGAAAGCAAGTGGTACGAAACAGACTGCTATGAACCCAATTGTTTCCAGTCACCCTCTTGCTGACATAACTGTTAATTCATTGGAATCCGTGTCGATTTGTGAAGCTATTAATCCTTCACACATGGTCCCATCTCACCTTTAAAAGGACATTCTGGAAGGCAAGGATGTCAACCTGGTGTCATTGCTTATAGCCTCCCAGGATGTCCTAGAGAATAGGGCATTTGCATATGGGGATATATCAGTAGTACTAAGGGCTAGAGACCCAAGGCTGAACAAAAAATTGTCAATCCCTGAATTTGTACTGGGTTTTGGGATTTATAGGGATGTTTACTGCTCAGTATACCCGGGAAAAAGAGCAGAGCTGGATGCATACATGCACAAGATGGTGGACCTGGGGCACAAATACGGTGGTACCGCTTTTTATGATTACCACCGTTCCTTTTCTGCAAAGGTGGCTGCAGCTCTGGCTCAGTTCAATTTAAGCATTAATTGGAGAAAATTGGACACTGAGTTATTCTTCAGGCCTCAGGCCTCCAACTTGTGCAGTGTGTGCATCTACCGCACATAGCACCAATTTCTGCCCAAACACGGCAGAAATTGAACAAGGCCAAACTCACTCTAATTTCCAAAGACAAACTGGGTAGAGATATTGTATTTCTAGGCAAATCCCAGATTTGTAACAATTTTAATGTGGGTAATTGTGGTTTCAGCTCTTGTAGGCTGATGCATGTGTGTTCCCACTGTTTCAGGGCCCGATCTAAGGCAATGTGCCCAAATAAAGCTTTTCCCAAACCATATCACACGTGCGTGAACCTTCACATTATTGACCCCACGGTTACGACAACACCCATCACACCATTTCATTGACTACCTTATCACGGGACTGACTGAGGGATTTCACACCGGGTTGGTACACTTACCTACCGGTACACTAGAATGCGACAATCTACAATCCACATTAGATGATCCACAGTTGGTCCATTCTTTTCCCCACCCTTCACATCTTGGAGAACCAACCCCATAGGGGTTGTCACGGGGAAGACTTCACTCAAACCTAGACTAATCATTGATTTGTCTGCACCACATTCCTCCACTGTCCTAAGCTTTAATTCACTCATACCTTCCGAAGAATTTTCACTACACTACGCCACCATCGATCATGCCATGGGGTCATTTTACAGGCTAGCACAGGGGCATGGCTAAGCAAAACTGACGTGGTAAATGCCTTCAAATTGCTACCCATGCACCCTTCCCTCTGGCATCTACACGGCATTAAATGGCAGGGGTTGTATTATTTCTTCACCCGTCTCACTTTTGGCTCCAAAAGCAACCCACAAATTTTTTATACGTTTGCGTAATCTTTGTGTTACTTAAAGGGACACTCCAGGCACCCAGACCACTTCTGCCCATTGGAGTGGTCTGGGTGCCAACTCCCACTACTCTTAACCCTGCAACTGTACTTATTGCAGTTTTTAAGTGTTCTTGCATAGCAAGACCACTTAATGTTATCTCACATATATATTATTATTATTATAGCCAAATTTACCTCCCACAGTTTTTACACTACATAGACAGTAATATACCGAAACGTGCGGATTGTTCCCGATTGGATTGCTATTACTTTGTGGAACGTTTCGTCAAATGGTTCACGGAAAATCGTCGTTCTTGTGGCAAAATTGGTCCCATAGGAATGAATAGCAAAACTAGAGTGGGAGCTGGCAAAAGCTGAAAAATCAGGACATGATTTCTAAACTGCCGCCCCTCCCTCATTTTCAAGCCCACCTACACAAATCTTATATTAAAACGTTCAGCTATCCCTGCTGCCACTAAAAATGTCCACGGCTAAGCCGTAGTCCTGATAGTTTTCACAATATGACCATTTGTTTGCAACTCACGCCGTCCATTGACATTCATTGAAACTCCACTCTAGCCAGCTCAAACTCGAAGGGCAATTTCTAAACTGCGACTGTGCCTTCGTTGTTAATACTTCGGAGACATACTATGCATCAAAATGTAGGTCTGGGTCTTGTGATTCTCACAATATAAAGCTCTTCGCTGTAGGGTTTATAGTTTTAAAAATACGACTGTTTGAAGATGGCAACCGTGATGTCGTAGACAGGGCCTTTTGTACACCTGCTAATGTTTTTATAAATATATGTTTTAATGTAACTGTGAAGCACTTTGGGCAACAACATTGCAATTAAATGTGCTATATAAATAAAAGTTGAAATGCATTTCTCACTCTATCAAGCTTGCCATGTGCACTTTAAATTTGATCAATCAATTGGTTAGTGTAATGTTTACTATCTTTACTCACTCCAAACACTCAACACAGTTACTCTGCCCAGTCCAACCTTTCCACAGTTAGTCCAGCCACTCCAACCACACAACAGTTACTCAAGCCACTCCACCCAGTTACTCCGCCCACTCCAGTTGTAGACTGCTGGTGGAGGCAAGAACACTTCACACAATTTCCCCAGAAATTGTAGCTTTTCTAGTTTATAAACTGCAATAATTACCTTGCAGGGTTAACTCCACCTCTAGTGGCTGTCTACCAGACAACCACTAGAGGGCACTTCCTGGTTTCTAGCACAGGAAACCTGTGTGGGGACCTCCCGTGTCGCCCATTTCCCCATAGGAAAGCATTGAAATGCATTTTCAATGCTTTCCTAGGGGGAGCGCCAATGCGCATGCGCGGCATTAGGTCTACCCTGCCGCTGGGCGGGTTCATTCTCACCCACCGTGGGATGCAATCAGAGGGAGGAGCGGCGCTGAGGAAGAAGCAGCGACGAGGGACATCATCGCTGCTTCAGGTAAGTTACTGAAGGGGTTTTCACCCCTTCAGCTACCCGGGATTGGGGGGTGGGAGGAAGAGGGGACCTGCAGTGCCATGAAAACTGATTGTTTTCCGGCACTGGAGTTTCCCTTTAATGTGTGTAAATGTCCGTCAGTTATTCACTATCTGGACGATTTACTCACGATTGAGAACAACACACTCCCCCCAAGTAGTTTGAAACACATGTTGGCTCTGTTTGAATCCCTCACCATCCCAGTCTCCCCTCACAAGACTCTGGATCCAGACACCAGCATGCAATTTTTGGGGATCCAACTAGACACGATACAGATGCAGGCTAGCCTCCCTCAGGAAAAGATTGAGCGTACCCTGGCAAGCATTGAACACTATCTTCTACAAGGTTATTGCAACCAAAAGGAACTGCAATCACTGCTGGCGTCGCTCAATTTTTCCATTAGGATTATACCACAGGGTAGATCCTTTATTTCGCTCCTGCTATCTCTATTTCCACAATTCACCTGAGACAATTCCAATTCACGCATCACTTTAGATGGTCACGCAACCTCTGATTTACACATGGGGGGGGAGAGGGGTTCTCACCTCTTGGAACGGGCGAGCCATGTTTATACCATCCCCCCTCCGACACTTCGCCTACACTGTGGACAGATGCTGCATCAAAAACTGGCTTTGCGGCCATCTGGGGAGATCAATGGCTTTGTGGACCATGGCCGACCGAAGTTGAATCACTGCTCAACTTTGCTGCTACCTCAGATTTATTTGAGTTGTACCCAATCGTGGCGGCGGCCATTGTCTGGGGACTACATTGGTCTGGTCACATGGTTAGTTGTTACTTTGATCTGGCCACATGCCATATTGTCAATAAAGGCCATTCTGCATCCCTGGTAATCATGAGACTCACAGGGTAGCAGCCACCTGTCAATTCTTTATCACATATATCCACGTTCCGGGGTACACAAACACCTCTGCTGATCACTTGTTTCATTTTCAGGCTTTCTTGACACTACCCACTGCTTCCAGACTGCGACACCTGCCCCACTATTTCAAGACATGATAATGGATTGAAGGCTTTGTTAAATCACGCACGTCACATTTCACATATGATAGGGCCTTTCACGTATTCACAAAATTTATAACAGAATTGTACATCCACAACATTTTTCCTTTAGAATCGATATTGGGTTTCACTTAATTTTGCCACATCAACCTTAAATTATCCTTCAATACTATAAAGCTATACCTTACAGGCATCCAGCACCACATGCTTATTTGACAACCCCACGCTACAGGTTTCCTGACTTCATACCAAATTAAAACAGTACTTAAAGGCATTAAAAATTAGACACACACGTTCCCTCACAAAGATTACCCATAGACAACAACATTTTCCAATCACTAACCAATTTATTAGATTATTCTCCTTTTGAACCCATAACTAATACCGTTATAAAGACAGCCCTATATTTAGCTTTTTATGGGTTTCTCCGTCCCACTGAATTTACGACTAGGACCATTACAGCCCTGGACTACCTGAGAACGAGTGACTTAAAAAGACATAGCGACCATTACATGCTATTCTTAAGACGATCCTAAACCACCTCCCTAGGACATACTATTAAAATCCCCTTGTATCCTACTCCTAACAAGTGGTACCCAGTACAAGTTTTGGACACCTTTTTTCTTTCAGCCCAGAAACAACCACAACAACCTTTGCTTCAACTGCATGGATACACTCTGACCACAGCAAAATTCATGCTTTACGTTCGACTACTGTTGACTAGGCTCGGCCTAAACCCCAATAACTTTTCAGGTCACTCTTTCCGTATAGGAGCAGCATCTTCAGCATCCGCTAATCACATACCCGCTCATATTATCAAGGCTATGGGATGCTGGAAATCCTCTGCCTACATACCTAATCCAGTTAAAGAATTAAGACAAGCTTTTTGTGACTTATCCAAATAAATGAAGTTGGTTACACAAATCAAGGTTTATGGTATTTTCTTTTTGCCCACTTTTTATTACAGGACTACTGAAAAATCAGGACATGATTTCTAAACTGCCGCCCCTCCCTCATTTTCAAGCCCACCTACACAAATCTTATATTAAAACGTTCAGCTATCCCTGCTGCCACTAAAAATGTCCACGGCTAAGCCGTAGTCCTGATAGTTTTCACAATATGACCATTTGTTTGCAACTCACGCCGTCCATTGACATTCATTGAAACTCCACTCTAGCCAGCTCAAACTCGAAGGGCAATTTCTAAACTGCGACTGTGCCTTCGTTGTTAATACTTCGGAGACATACTATGCATCAAAATGTAGGTCTGGGTCTTGTGATTCTCACAATATAAAGCTCTTCGCTGTAGGGTTTATAGTTTTAAAAATACGACTGTTTGAAGATGGCAACCGTGATGTCGTAGACAGGGCCTTTTGTACACCTGCTAATGTTTTTATAAATATATGTTTTAATGTAACTGTGAAGCACTTTGGGCAACAACATTGCAATTAAATGTGCTATATAAATAAAAGTTGAAATGCATTTCTCACTCTATCAAGCTTGCCATGTGCACTTTAAATTTGATCAATCAATTGGTTAGTGTAATGTTTACTATCTTTACTCACTCCAAACACTCAACACAGTTACTCTGCCCAGTCCAACCTTTCCACAGTTAGTCCAGCCACTCCAACCACACAACAGTTACTCAAGCCACTCCACCCAGTTACTCCGCCCACTCCAGTTGTAGACTGCTGGTGGAGGCAAGAACACTTCACACAATTTCCCCAGAAATTGTAGCTTTTCTAGTTTATAAACTGCAATAATTACCTTGCAGGGTTAACTCCACCTCTAGTGGCTGTCTACCAGACAACCACTAGAGGGCACTTCCTGGTTTCTAGCACAGGAAACCTGTGTGGGGACCTCCCGTGTCGCCCATTTCCCCATAGGAAAGCATTGAAATGCATTTTCAATGCTTTCCTAGGGGGAGCGCCAATGCGCATGCGCGGCATTAGGTCTACCCTGCCGCTGGGCGGGTTCATTCTTACCCACCGTGGGATGCAATCAGAGGGAGGAGCGGCGCTGAGGAAGAAGCAGCGACGAGGGACATCATCGCTGCTTCAGGTAAGTTACTGAAGGGGTTTTCACCCCTTCAGCTACCCGGGATTGGGGGGTGGGAGGGAGAGGGGACCTGCAGTGCCATGAAAACTGATTGTTTTCCGGCACTGGAGTTTCCCTTTAATGTGTGTAAATGTCCGTCAGTTATTCACTATCTGGACGATTTACTCACGATTGAGAACAACACACTCCCCCCCAAGTAGTTTGAAACACATGTTGGCTCTGTTTGAATCCCTCACCATCCCAGTCTCCCCTCACAAGACTCTGGATCCAGACACCAGCATGCAATTTTTGGGGATCCAACTAGACACGATACAGATGCAGGCTAGCCTCCCTCAGGAAAAGATTGAGCGTACCCTGGCAAGCATTGAACACTACCTTCTACAAGGTTATTGCAACCAAAAGGAACTGCAATCACTGCTGGCGTCGCTCAATTTTTCCATTAGGATTATACCACAGGGTAGATCCTTTATTTCGCTCCTGCTATCTCTATTTCCACAATTCACCTGAGACAATTCCAATTCACGCATCACTTTAGATGGTCACGCAACCTCTGATTTACACATGGGGGGGGAGAGGGGTTCTCACCTCTTGGAACGGGCGAGCCATGTTTATACCATCCCCCCTCCGACACTTCGCCTACACTGTGGACAGATGCTGCATCAAAAACTGGCTTTGCGGCCATCTGGGGAGATCAATGGCTTTGTGGACCATGGCCGACCGAAGTTGAATCACTGCTCAACTTTGCTGCTACCTCAGATTTATTTGAGTTGTACCCAATCGTGGCGGCGGCCATTGTCTGGGGACTACATTGGTCTGGTCACATGGTTAGTTGTTACTTTGATCTGGCCACATGCCATATTGTCAATAAAGGCCATTCTGCATCCCTGGTAATCATGAGACTCACAGGGTAGCAGCCACCTGTCAATTCTTTATCACATATATCCACGTTCCGGGGTACACAAACACCTCTGCTGATCACTTGTTTCATTTTCAGGCTTTCTTGACACTACCCACTGCTTCCAGACTGCGACACCTGCCCCACTATTTCAAGACATGATAATGGATTGAAGGCTTTGTTAAATCACGCACGTCACATTTCACATATGATAGGGCCTTTCACGTATTCACAAAATTTATAACAGAATTGTACATCCACAACATTTTTCCTTTAGAATCGATATTGGGTTTCACTTAATTTTGCCACATCAACCTTAAATTATCCTTCAATACTATAAAGCTATACCTTACAGGCATCCAGCACCACATGCTTATTTGACAACCCCACGCTACAGGTTTCCTGACTTCATACCAAATTAAAACAGTACTTAAAGGCATTAAAAATTAGACACACACGTTCCCTCACAAAGATTACCCATAGACAACAACATTTTCCAATCACTAACCAATTTATTAGATTATTCTCCTTTTGAACCCATAACTAATACCGTTATAAAGACAGCCCTATATTTAGCTTTTTATGGGTTTCTCCGTCCCACTGAATTTACGACTAGGACCATTACAGCCCTGGACTACCTGAGAACGAGTGACTTAAACAGACATAGCGACCATTACATGCTATTCTTAAGACGATCCTAAACCACCTCCCTAGGACATACTATTAAAATCCCCTTGTATCCTACTCCTAACAAGTGGTACCCAGTACAAGTTTTGGACACCTTTTTTCTTTCAGCCCAGAAACAACCACAACAACCTTTGCTTCAACTGCATGGATACACTCTGACCACAGCAAAATTCATGCTTTACGTTCGACTACTGTTGACTAGGCTCGGCCTAAACCCCAATAACTTTTCAGGTCACTCTTTCCGTATAGGAGCAGCATCTTCAGCATCCGCTAATCACATACCCGCTCATATTATCAAGGCTATGGGATGCTGGAAATCCTCTGCCTACATACCTAATCCAGTTAAAGAATTAAGACAAGCTTTTTGTGACTTATCCAAATAAATGAAGTTGGTTACACAAATCAAGGTTTATGGTATTTTCTTTTTGCCCACTTTTTATTACAGGACTACTGCTGTGTCGGTTCCGGGACACAACACAACCGACTGGTGCAAACTCATTGAAGTTATGGTTATAATATGCTAGATTTCTATGTACTGCTATATTGCCGCGACTACAAATTTGAAGGCTTGGCCTGTAGTTGTGGGAGGGGCTTGGATCCCCTTTAAAAAGGCTGACAATCCTCTCTCACCTTACCGTTGCTGGTCTGGCGAGCCACCACTTCCTCTATTCATAGCACCCTCTAAGGTGGGCCCACTTTTTATTACAGGCCTACTGCTTTGTCGGTTCCGGCACACCACAACCGACTGGTGCAAACTAATTGATGTTATGGTTATAATATGCTAGATTTCTATGTACGGCTATATTGCCCCGACTACAAATATATATATATATATATATATATATATTCTCATTAATTATAAAGAAAAGGCCAAAAAATGGGGGAGGGAGGACAAAAATAAATAAATATATTTTTCACAGGTTTAGCAATAATAGCGTGAGAAGCCGCAGAAGCCACACATAGAGAGATGGACACAAGTCTATTCAGGAAGTAACAGATCTTTTATTTACACACCGATCGGGTCTCAGATGAACTCCTGTTCCAAAAATATCTGAGAGACAAAGCACAGATTGCAGAAGCTTTTTGTTAGCAGCATATCCCCTCCCATACAGTATAACCCCTCCTATATTCCTCAGACCAATCAGCATACAGGATATTCAGGATCACCTTATATGGGCAGACCGCATGGCACTTACAGACAAAGGAATTTATTACCCACTTCCGCACATGCTCAGTACACCGATGACTCATCCAACTGTTTGTAATCAGATACTAATTCGCATATGCCATGTGGAGATTTCGGCCTACTAAATTTTGACCATGCTGGAATCCCATCACATATGGATGTAACCCCTTCTACCCTTCATCAGCTTCATCTAAACAGTAAGAGATTCCTGCTAATCTGAATTGCAATCAAACTTATTCCTAGGCTTCTGTGTCTTTTAATATATCCACTGGATTACTTTTTCCTAGGCCTCTGTTGGGCTTTTTAAAAATAGCAGCTGGATTAATTTATTTCTAGGCCTCTGTTTGGGCCTTTTTAATATAGGCACTGGAGTCACTTATCCCTAGGCGTCTGTGTCTTATTCCTAGGCTTCTGTATCTTTTAATATAGCCACTGGAGTCACTTATTACTAGTCTTCTGTATCTTATTCCTAGGCCTTTATGCCTTTTAATATAGTAGCTAGAATAACTTTTTCCTAGGCCTCTGTTAGGCCTTGTATTATTTATTAGTGCCTTATTCCTAGACCTCTTGTTAAACCATGTATTGCTGTCCCACTTAATTCTGGTAAGATAGATCAGTGGGCTAATGCTTCATCAGAAGAATTTCATCTGATGGTGCTCACTAGACTTGGGCATTCGTATTCGTCCGAATTGATTTTCGTCCGAAAATATGCTTTTTCTTCCATTCTTATGAATACCGAATAAAGAATGGGTATCCAAACTAAAGAACGAACAAACGAATGGCCGTTTACCGAAAATCTTTCATTTGTTCGTTCATTCGGCATTTTGAATTACACTCTGTGCGAATTGACACAGCACACTGTGTAATTCAAAAAGCCGAACTAATAACCGAATGAATAGCAATGTCTATATCATTCTTTCATTCATTCGTAAAACTAGTTCGGCTTTTTGAATTACAGGCAGTCAAACAATTCGCGCTTTTTAAAGCTTTGCATTGCTTTACAGATGGGGATGGTAGAAAAACCGAATGAACTAATGAACTAAAATGAACTGATTTGCCTCAATTCGTGTATTAGTTCATTCGTGCTTTTTCAAAGCATTGCATTGCTTTACATGGGGATGGTAGAAAAACCGAATGAACTAAAATGAACTGATTTGCCTCAATTCGTGTATTAGTTCATTCGTGATTTTTCAAAGCATTGCATTGCTTTACATGCAGATGGTTGAAAACCTAATGAACTAAAATGAACTGATTTGCCTCAATTCGTGTTTTAGTTCATTCGGATGCCTTGTATGAATCAAAGAGGAGGGGTATGGGAGTGAGCTGATTTTCATTTAACTAATCAGCTCACTCCTTTGACATGATGCTGTAGGGGCTTATCCAATGGTGAGTGCTTTATCGGGGATTTAAAAAATAACTAAAGAGCAGTATAAAAGCAGGCAGTGGAACTTTCTCCCCCTTTCTTTGACTGAGTTTTGTTGGTGACACACTGTGCTTCTGTGCTGTGTTAGCCTCATTACTTGCCTTAGCGATCTTCTGTGAGTTTTGGTGTGTCTGCCTGTTCTCACTTGTTCAATTTGAGAGACTATTCCTGAGAATTATTTTTTTAATTTTAGTGCTTTTTGAAAGCTGTGCACTGCTGTGCTGCTGACTGAGTCAGTGTGCCACACGGTGCCTGGCTGGCACTGCCAGTGCCTGCCTTCCCTGCTTGCTTACTGACTACAGCAACCAGGTATTACTTTTAAAAAAAATAAAAAAATAAATCTTTTTATTTAAAAAAAAATAATTTAGCTTAAAATTAATTAAGATTTAAAGTAAAGATAGAATCAGTCTTTAGCTTAGTGGGCCTGAGGGCTTCTGCCCTAGGGGTAGACTAGCTTGTTAGCTTGCTAGCCTAGAAGAAAAGAAATCTTAATCTAGTTTAGCTGTTGAGTCTTTTAGCAGCAAAGTTGATTAGTTGATTTTTGTTAACTTGATTTTACAGTGGTGCTGCTGTTTCTGCAGTGCTGCTTCATTCTCTGAGTGCTGATAGAGAAAGTTCATCTTCTGTCAGTCTCAGTTTAGTGTGTTTGCTTGGGTTTTAAATTCTTTTTTTAAGTGAATCTATCTATACTCCAGTCCACATAGAGTTAGTTTAATCTGTTTGCTGGCTTTGCAGGCAGTCGATGTAAAAGTGAAGAAATATTTTTTATTCAGTTAATAGTATTATCTTCAGTTTTAATTAAAATATTTTTTTAAGTTGATAAAATTATCTTCAGTTTAAAATATATTTGTTGTAGTACAGTCTCTTTGTGCTTAGTTAGGACAGAACACATTAGTCAGTCAAACAGTCTATTTTTGGTTTTACATTTTTTAACACTTTGTGTCATTTTTCTGTGCTCACATCAGCATCAGCAGTGAAGTTAACTGTTCTGACTGCTGTTGTGAAGAAATTTCTTTTTTCATTAACTGATTCTTATTAGTTCAGTTAGTGTGTTTGTTTAACAGCAATCAGTGAAGCTAACTGGTTGCTGTTTTTATTTGGTTTATTTTAGTTCCTGATAGATTGACTGTGAGACTGTCCTAACCTAAGCTTCAAGGTAGCTGTAGGAAATCTTTTATTATTTTATTTTTCTATATTAGTACATTTTTTTCATACTCTGCTTGCACTGCAGTAGTTGAGCAGGGAGCACTTGTTGGCAGATTGCTCACGCCAGACAGTGCAGTTTTCCATAGTTCCTCAAAAAGCACTAGAGTGAAGAAATCTGCCTCAGTAGTAGTCTCTATTTTTTTTTTTAACTGTGTTCCAAACATCAAATAATCCTTTTTAATAAAAATATAAACGTTAGTTTGAAAACACTACATACATTACATTATCTCTTTCTTTTCTTTTCTTCAACTTCTTTTCTTTTCTTACTATTTTAAAATTCTAAATGGATCCTCCTAAACCTTCATCCACTAGTAAAGTGAGGGAGGGTCAGTCAGCAACCATCACCACCACCAATACCACCACCACCATCACAAGTAGTGGTAGTTTGAGTACGCAGCCTATACGTCAGCCTAAGCGGTCCAGGAGTGCCGTTATGTCAGACTCACCGCCTAGGAGGCCAAAGTCTTTGTCTCACATTTCAGGCCCGTTGGTGCAAGATCCTGGTCAAGGAAAGGCACCAATAGCAGGCAGTAGTGCAGCAAGGCCCAGAATTGCAAGTCTTTTCTATGGCAAAGGGAAACCAGCAGGGCTTTTAAGGGTGAGCACTATGGCTAGTACTATTACTAAAAACACAACTAGTAGTAGGAGTAGCCCAATAAGTAAGAGGAAGCGTGTTTTGCCCCCAGCATCTTCCTCTACCACAAGCAGGCCTGTGAGTCGTGCTGCTAAATAGCTTCCTTCTTGTACAAGGAGGCTGTTTCCTAATCCCCCTCCCAAGACCACCACTTCCACCACCACCAGTGCTGCGCATGCTTCTACCACTGACAGCGGCACATCAGGAGTTGTTGCCATTGCCAATGCTACCCAGTGCTCCTAGTCCTATTATTCCTGGAGGTGATATCAGTCTTACCCCCAGCCTTGCAGGGATTGCATTTAGTCTGGCTGATGAAGAGCTTGACTATGAGCCTGAGAGTGAGGAGGAGATAGTAGAGGAAAGTCAGCATTCTTCAGGGAGCAGTCCAACCTTTTCTCCTGCTACAAGTGCACATTTTTCCCCTTCCTCTCCACTTTCTCCAATAGTAGCACCTGCTAGTGCTACTTCAACCATTAGCAGACCACCACCACCACCACAATCAATTATTACCACTACTATTTCCAAATCCACTGTTCCTCCTCGCAGTGGCACAGTTACCACCACCAGAGTAACTGTGCCAACAATCATCACCACCACTGGTACTACTAGTCACAGTACCAGTGCCGAGGCTACTGTGCCAGCTACCAGTAGTCACACTCCTCCTGCTGCTCATCAACCTGCACCACTAGCAGCAGAATCCCGAAGGGCAAGGGCCAATGTTTTGCGCCGCAGCAAAGTTTGGGATCACTTTGAAAGTGTTGGAGATGGGCGCTTTGCAAAGTGCAAACTTTGTGGGAAGGAAGTTAGCAGGGGGAGAGTGTTGGGTCATCTCACCAGTGCAGGGATGAACCATCACCTTCGCAGTCATCACAAGGCTGTGTTATTGAAAGAAGAGGCAGAAAGTACTAGGACAGGCAGCATAGCTACTATTACAGTGTCCAGTACCAAGGCAGCTAGAAGTGACACGGGAGGTGTTGCAGAGCCAAGAGCTACTGGTGCTGCCAGCCAACAACCAAGACTGGTTGGAGCATCACAATGCATTCTGCCCACCCTGGAACAATTTGGGGGATTCCACTCAAGGCTATGTCTAAAAAGCAGGCCAATAAAATTACGCAACTTATTGGCCAGTTAATTGCTGTTGGGGGTGCTTCCTTTTCTATGATAGAAGGGGAGCCTTTCAAACAGTTGATGGAGGCTGTGGCTCCACA